TATTATGATCAGTATTAATTTAAGATGACTAGGATATTAGGATCACTATTAATCTAGAATCATTAGAATATTAGATTCACTATTAATTTAGGATCATTAGAATATTAGGACAACTATTAATCTAGAATCACTGGAACATTAAGATTAGTATTAATTTAGGATCACTAGAATATTAGAATCACCATTAATCTAGAATGATTAAAATATTAGGATCAGTATTAATTTAAGATGACTAGGATATTAGGATCACTATTAATCTAGGATGAATAGAATATTAGGATCACTGTTAATCTACAATCACTATTGCAACCAGATGTTGCAAGTTAAGATTCACTGGAATTGGGGCGTTCTAATCACGAATGGCCTAAAAATCTAAATGTCTTTTAACTAAAACTATATCTGATTTTTATCTGATTTAGGTTTCTAGACACCAACCTCGTCAGCTTCGTCGTATTCCTCCGCACTATTGCGGGCCAATCTCTCTAAATTTGCAGGAGCCTTTACACCAGACGCTTGAGGCTCTTTTTCCCCATCTGGCTCAATTGGGGGAGCGTTGTTCAGCTCATTGTCAGCGTTGTCGTCCGCAGATTCTGCAAAAAGGTTAAATAGAACAATTTCTATAATGACTATAGATAGAGCAGAATTCGCTATTTGGACAGTGTTAAAAGGTGTTTGTAGATTTACAAACATGATCTTCTCATTTTCTCACAAAACGAAAATGCCTCATTTCAAAGACAGTATCGCACAATCTGCCAAATGTTGTAATGAGCCAAATATTCAACCAAGATACTTTGGATAAGAATATAGTGAGCAGGTTTAGATCACGATACAGCTGACTATTTAGTTGAATTGAAACAAATGCTCGCATAAAGGAGACAGTTGACTGAACTAGCTTATTATCCACACTGTAACCTGTCTTCAATTGCTGACAGTCTAAATCTGTTCACTATGTTTTTATTCTTTATTAATTATATTATTAACACAGGAAGTGGCATTAATTATATTATTAACACAGCATACGCTACCTGAAGCCTGGGTAGTAGCGTACTCGGTTTCCGATTTAGCTGAGCTAAAAAAATCATAGATTTCCCTCTTTATCCTATGAAAGAAGGAGTCGTGCTGGCGCGTTTCTATCAGAGGAGCTTCGCCAAACGACTGCTTGCCATCCTGGTCGAACACCAGATCGTCGTTCTGCAAATAAACGAATCCGCTTCTAATCTGACTTTAATAATCCTCACGAAGGATCAATAAATCCTTCGTTGCAACATCTCTAAAAATAA